AAAGTGAACACATTTTCTTTCTTGAAAAACGTTCTTCAGTCAGCTTCAAAAATATCAGATTTATATGGACATTTCCCTATTCACTGATTATATTTGATGACCCCTCTTTCTCCTAATGTTACAGTGTCCCGACCCTTAATCCTAAAATGGTTATTTGCTACCTAAATAATCTGATCCAATTTCACTACATATACTGATGACCTCCACATGGATATCACCATCATTTACTTCTTTTACTTTCAGACTCATCTATACAGCCCTCTCCTTAGTACTGAAATATTTGGTAGGAAATTCAAAAGGAATTCTTGGTTTCTCATACCCCAGGCACAAATCTCTGCCTATCGCTGTGTCTGTCTCATCTCAAACACTGGCGCTGCCCTTTAACCACCTGCTAATGTCAAAACTCAGTAATCTTTGAGTTTTCTATTTTCTTATAATCCCATGTCTAGTCCATCGGCAAGACAAGGTCCTCTGGGCCCTGAACCCATGGCTTCTTCCCACATCTGCTCTGAGCTCTCTGGCCCCAGAAGCCACCATTCTATGGCTGTCCGACTTTCTGCCAGCTTCTGTTTTTCCTTCCACAGTTTCTGGTCCGCATGAAGGTTAACAGAAACTTTCCAGTCACCCCACATTCCACAGCAGAGAAGCGCTAGTTTGAAAATGCAGCTTTTCTTCTCCCTGCCTTCACAACTGGAGTACATTGTACAGCCTCCCTTGCAGTTAGGTTTGGTCATTAAGGCCTTTTTAGCCGATGAAATACAGAGAGAAGTGATGCTTAGCACTGCCACATCTAACCCCCAAACCCTTCTCTGTGTGATTCCCCATGCTTATTTTCCTTCCTCCAGCTTGATGCAGTAAGCATGCAACTTGCCTGCATGTGAATGCTACAGGGAACAGCTTAGAATTAATTCTTGTGTCCTACCATTCTCAGCTATCCTGGGTGCAGGGCCTGGGACCGTCAGAACAGACCATCAGAGCCGCACCAAACCACATCCTCCCTTTATCCGCACAGCTGCGTCTCTAGGAACACAAGCATTAAGGCTCTCCCTCTTCGCTCATATTGCTTATATCCTTTCCAGGTTTGTAAGGAAGCTTTAGGGGGAGACGTAGTGTGGAAATCTCAGGTTTTGTTTCAAATATATTGATGATGTGGGGTCTGGTTGTGCATTTCCAAAGCACTTTGTACCATTTAACAATATTTGAGAGGTACAAGTAAAAGTTCTCAATTCAAAATGTTTTATTCTATGTCAGAATATTCCAAAGATGAAAATGAATCTCTACTCTAGGAAGAGAATGATATCAAAAATTGAATTAAATGGGAAAGTAGTGACACATTTTCACTCTGAAATAAATGTGTGAGATGAGCTGACAATAGGAAAGCCAGTTCAGATTCTCAGCCCTCCAGTGTCACGGCTTAAACTCAGAGTCTAAAATAGGCATTTAGCTGGCGGAACAGGGCAGGAAGGAGGGTCTGCGGCCCCTAATGCCTGCATCTGAGAATGGACTGACATCACTAAAATTAACACTGAAGACGAGGTTACCACCAAATTTGGGGATTCTTTTCTTCTTTCAAGGTGAGTAGGCCAGACAAGCAGAAAATTGTGTCTCAGTGGCCCAGAGGCTAAGTGTTGGAAACTTAAAATTATCTCTGATAACGTGAATGTGGGCTTCCCTAATAGCTCGGTTGGTAAAGAATCTGCCTACAGGGAAGGAGACCCCGGTTCAGTTCCTGGGTCGGGAAGATCCCCTGGAGAAGGGACAGGCTACCCACTCCAGTATTCTGACCTGGAGAATCCCATGGACTGTATAGTTCATGGGGTCGCAAGGTGTCAGACTCGACTGAGTGACTTCCACAACATGAATATAAATGATCAAAATTGCTGTGTCTGCACAAAATGTGGAAATTCTCATTTCTCACAATCAAGTGTCCACTGGAGATTGTAAAGCATTTTCATTTTGCTATTAGAAGAAAAATGAAGTCTAACACCTGCCTTCAAGGAAGCCACTAGACAGTGACTGAGGTCTAGAAAACATAATGTTACACTGCACATTATACCAGTAATTATACACAGTAATACCAGTCCTCCAGTGTCTGGAGGGGAGAAGAATACTACAGCAAAAAAAAAAAAAAAATGTACATTACTTTTGATTTTTGATTTGATTTGGTATTTGGATTTTTTACTCTTTCCACAATTGATTGCAGATGCAGCCAAAGGGGGAGAACGCATCACCTAAGTGGGTGTTTTAGCTGTGCTATAGAATTTGTGTAGGTGAAAAGGAATTGCCAATTAATCAGACAGTAAAGGTTAAACTTTCTCCTCAAGGAAAAAAAATCTATGGACATCAAGTCATGATCCAGATCCATGAAAATGAAAAGAAGGAAAGTTAGGCATTAGGGCCTATTTAAACACCTTCTATCTGCAGGGTGAAAGCAAGGCTAGAAAGAGTATTCCATCTAATAAAAGATTAATGTGCGAACTCTTCTGACTGATAACCACATTAGTTCCTCTCAGAGCTAATTATGTCTTTGAATCATATCCAAAAAGGAAGACAAAAGTTATCTTCAGCAAATGCTTATTTTAATTGTTTAATAGTGAATACTTTTTTGAGCTAATTGACTTATTTTTTCTGAGAGGTATAAAAGTCCATCTGTCCTCAGTAGAATATTGAAGATGAACAATGTTATTCCTTTAGAAGAAAGGTTTAGAATATTGCAAATACTGACATCAAATTGTTTCTGTCAAGAGATCATTTTAAATTGAATTTATTTTTGCCACGAAATTATTCTGTGGAGTTTGTGAATGTACCAAAGCTCCGGAACTAAACTTGCTGTTGGGGTCTGTATCTTCACATGAAAAGAAATGAGGTCTTCTGTAACCTGATTTCTGTACACCCATACAGATCAATGGAAAGCTAGGGCTGAGACTGTCCTATCATCCGTTCTTCCTTGGACCGTCAGGAAAATATATACACACGTTAATACCGTTTATAAGAGAGGCTGACATTTTCTAACTACTCAGTGGTAGTTGAAGCAGGTGGAACTGATGGCAGTGGGGTATCCGGCAGGGTGGAGTCCTTCGTTACTGAAATGGTCTAGAATTTATGCACGCTGATATTAAACTACAGTCCCGCTTTTAATAGGTGTTATTATTTTTACATTCTCCTCGGGCACTGCATCCCCACAAGTGTGCGCGGTGACCTACGACCCCCATCTGGGTGTACCATTTATAGTAACCCCCTGATGTGCGGGATCACTGAGTTCTCTCAGCCCAGGAAAGGAAGCTCAGAGGCAAGCAAGTGGCCTTACATAGTTACTCAGCTAGTAAACAAATGTCACAGCTACTCAACAGTTTAATCAAGTTACTTGTCTAGTAATGGAGGGTCAGGATTAACATGGATTAAAACCCAGAACTTCCTGATGCTGAGGCCTTTACATCAACCATAGTTGGGCCGCTCAAATCTGAATCTCCGATCATCTCCTTCTTCATTCCTTACATGTGGCTTTTCCAGTAGAGAAGTACTCAGTCTGATGCAACACTAGCCAAAATGATATTTGCACCCCAGTGTTCCTAGTGATGAGGGAAATGTTTTCTCCTATGCATCCTGTTGCAGGAAATGCTTGTTAGACAGGGAGTGCCCCGCCCTTCTCCCCTCTGCCGAGGTCAGGGCGGTGAGGCAGTGAGCCTGCAGGTACACTGCGTATCCTCAGCCTGTGACCGTCCACGAAGAGCGCATCCTCCCCTAATTTGAAGACAACACAGACCCCTCATTACCGAACTGTCTCAGGCTCAGTGTACTCTCCCTGAAGTCAAGGAAACACTGCGGGGAGGAAAACGCCAGATAAAAGGATACAGTGAATTTTCTCCTCCTCGTACTGTTTACTGGCTTCAAAATTCATTAAAAGATTTTCATACCACAACAAGGATGAGATTCAATAACCACATTTTAAGAAATATGCTTCTGAAGACCTCTATAAATTCTTCATCAGGCTATCTACTAACCAGACCATTCCCAAGTGGGTGGTTTACCTAAAAGGGGATGGGTATGTCTTTGCAGCCTACATGGTGGGAAAGATAGGGCTGAAGTCTTAGACCGAGGTGGGGAGAAAGCTGTTGCTTTCTCCGGGAGGGGGTGGGTTCAGTCTGCACTCCTCGCTGTGAAAGTGCATGGCGTGCTCACGGCGCTGGTTAGCGAGCTGCCCGCAGCCCTGCAGGGCTGAGTCAGGAAGGCAGCTCTCTGAGGCCCCTTGCCGAGGTGTGGGCCGCAGTCTGTGCTGTGGCCGGAGTCCGTTAACACACCACACAGCTAATTAGGCCAAGACACTGCCCGTAGGCACGCTCCCCTGCAGCCTGTGTCCTTATCACGGATACGGGGCTCGGAGGCCGCTTCCTGCTGCTTCTCTTAGGTTAGATTTCCCTGGTGCCCTCGGCTGAGGCCTTCCCTGCACAGCACGCCCTTGTGGTAACCGGCTTTACCGCCTGGCTTCTGATCCCGAGACACTGAACAAGCCTTCGTGCACGGCCTTTCTTTGGGTCTCCATTTTCTCTGCTATGAGCTGCAGAAGATTCCCTTTCAAACACTGGAGACCTAAACAGCCTCTCTGGAGAGACAGTTGACAGTATCAACATAAACAAATACAACCTATGATCCAAACATCTCACTCCTAGCTACAAACTCAAGAGAAATGTGCACTTAGGTTCACCAAAAAGCCTTCACAATAATGTTCATAGCAACACTATTTGTAATCGCCGAAAGCTACTGGAAACAATCCAGAGAGAATGGATATATAAAAAGGGTTATATAAAAGTAATGAATTGCTACATAGAAAGAAGAAAGAACAAACTACAGCATACAATAACATGGGTGGATCCCATGAATATAAACAGCAAAATTAATAAAGGCAGAAACAAAAGAGTGTATGTTGTATGATTTCATTCTTATAATGTATAAATACAGCAAAACTATTTCATGATGTTAGAGATCATGGAGATAGTGGTTACCTCGATGGAGAAGGATAAATATTGACTAGGAAGGGGATTAAAAAGGATTTCCTGGTGTGCCGGTAACACTCTGCTGAGAGCGAGGTCTTTTCCATGGGTTTGTTCAGTGTGTGAGCATGTTGTTTTTGTTCAGTCTCTCAGTCGTGTCCAACTCTTTGTGACCTCATGGATTCCAGGCCTCCCTGTCCTTCACCATCTTCCAGAGCTTGCTCACACTCATGTCTATTCAGTTCATGACGCCATCCAACCATCTCATCCTCTGTTGTCCCCTTCTCCTCCTGCCTTGAGCCTTTCCCAGCATCAGGGTCTTTTCCAATGAGTCGGCTCTTTGCATAAGGTGAATTGTGAATATTCATGGAACTATGTGTTTAAGACATGTACACTTTTCTTAAAGTTATTATATGGTGCTACAATACCTGAACTTTAAAAATATACTTAAAACTAATACAATATTATAAATTGACCATATACCAATAAAAATTAAAAATAAATAAAAAGTACACTTAAGAATGGCAAGATTGGAATCTTCCTTACTCTTGCCAATATCCTCCCCACCCCAGTCCTCACCACCTTTCATGTGGTTTATTTGTTTCTTTTTTTGAGAGTCATAAAAACCCTATGAATAGAGGAGCCTGGCTGACTGCAGTCTATGGTCTTGTAAGATAACTTAGCATCTAAACGCCACCACCAGGAGACCGAAGGACAGATCCTCTGGAGTGAGGCTTGCTAACCTCCCTGCATGTATAAATCCTGCCCTTAACCAAACTCAGATCAACAGCTGGAATCAGGATATGCCTCACTTTTACTATAGTGAAACATCAGATTCCATGGAGACCACATCTTGCTTTCTCAGCTGAAAGTCTAAAGTCAGCTCAACATACCTCCATCCTTAGTCTTTCATTTATTCCTAAGGTTCTTATTAAATTATCCTTTAATTATTTTGGCTATGTTGGGCCTTACGCACAACCATGGAGATGACACTGGCAGATGCATGCATGGTCCATGTAACATTCCTCCACCTCCCTTGGTCCCTGAAGCCTCACCATGCGGGACAGAAGCTGCCCTCACACTGACCCTGGCATGGCGGGCATCGCTCCATCCACCACAGCCCCCGACAGGAGGCACAGAGGGGCAGGTGGTCCACAGTGGCCCCAGGGCCTGCAGCGGTCAGTGAAGCCCCTTTGGAAAGAGGTGAGACAAGCGTGTGAATTGCATGAGTCCATTATATTATTCTAGGATGTGTAAATAAAATTCCCTTTAAAAAAGTTAGACCCAGAGATGTACTTTTAGTGTCTGCTTATAATTTATTTTTTCTTATTTAGGAACCATTATGTCCTAAATGCCCAAGCAGTTTTTAAACATTTTTTCCATGAAGTAGGGAGTCCATTTAAGTGGAATGTAGACTCTAGGAAGCATATTTTTAAGACCTAAAAAAAAGGAGTCTATAACATTTTTCTGTAGCTTTATCAGCTTCATTAATTAAAAACTTACTCACTGAGTTCAATAATGTCAAGTAATAATACAGCCCATTAACTATGACTTCAGCTTTTCAGAATGACATGCGTAGCTATATATGTACCAATCTTGTGGGCAGAACTCATAAAAGTGGTATAATATTGCCCTGTTGCCAGCTTCACTTTCATTCCCAACAAATCTAACAACTGAAAACTTTAAAGATACTTCATATTTGTTGAAAATTTTGACAATATGTGGCATATCAACCATCAAAGCGAATTATAAACATCCTTTTGAACCTATCACTTTTCAGGCCAGTCTTGGTGATGTCTCTCACTTACATTATAAATAATGTTAGCACAAAAGAATAACCAGACTCTTAAGACTATAAATTATCTACATTTTTTCCTCCAAGATGCTTTGACATTTCCAGTTAAATACATATTAACTGATGCACTTCTGCCCGTTGCTTAGAAAAGATGCATTTCCAGACATACAAGCCCAGATGACAAAGATGTTACTGTACCTCTGACCTGATCTTTATTTTAAATTCTCTATTTAATTAGTGTGAGGAATTTTTAGGCGACCTTACCAAAAATGGTCCCCTCCCCCATCGGTTTCCTTTCCGCCAACTCTGAGTGCTTCCTGTGTCCCGGGCATAGGTGATACACAGACAGACAGACATGACTCTCTGGCTCCTACCGCTGGAAGATTTCCACCCATCGCCCGATTTCAGAACACACGCATTCCCTTAGCGCTCTGGAGTCTGGTTGAGTAGTTTCTAATAAGGAATCGGAGCTTCTTTTAGAATGCAGCTTTGTGACAGATCTTGCATGCTGCAGTGAAGCAGTGGGTGAGCACCCCTCCATCATCTCCTTTCTTTGACCTCCATCCTCTCGTCCACTCACCCAAGGACATGCAAGGTCAGGTTACCAAGGCCATTTCACTAGGAATCCTGAACTGCTGCAAAAAGCTATACAGCCTCCTGGAATCCACAGGGTAATTTTTGTGCCAGGATTCTTCAGACAGTTTTCCACAGGTGAAGACTGGGGATGAGGTGCAAAGCACAGATGACTGATGCTGACACGGGGTGAACCACGCATCTCACTTTGGTGCTTCTCTGCTTAGCCCGAGAAATTTCTGGCGGTCTGTCATTTTAGAGATATAGTGATGATAGAAACAGCCTCTAATTTCTTATGAACGATAAAATCATGAATATGTTATAACTATCCCATCTGATTTTTCCCCAATCAATTTTCAACTTGATTTCATTTCAGGGTCAATACTAAGGGTCATTTTATATGCAGGAAATGTCCCTGAACTGAATTTACTGCTCCCAGGCTCTCAGCCGGCTCACTGCTCCTGGATCAGAATGTTAATTGCACTAACATTAAGGGCTACTCTTTGTTTTTTTCTGGTTAGGTGGCTGGCAATTAACACTAATAATATGTGAGTTGTGGCATAGCGTTAAATTCTGAGTAGATTGATAGCTACCTTAAGGAGAACACAGTAATTCTTTTTTCTTTTTTTGGCTTAAACAAAAGACACTTGGTTTGTCACAGTTCTGTTGGATACAAGTCTAAGATCAAGGCGTCTGCAGTAACCATTCCTCCCGAGGCCTCTCTCCCTGGCCTGTAGGGGACCATCTCCTCCCAGAGTTTTTCCTTCACATGGTCTTCCCTCTGGGCATGTCTGTGTCCTAATCCCTCCTTCTTTCTTTCAGCTGAGAGCTAATTGACATGTAACATTGTATTAGTTTCAGGTGTACAGCATGCTTCAATATTTGTATACACTGCAAGATGATCACCACAATAAATCTAGCTAACATTCGTCACCATACAGAATTACACAGACATTTACTGCTGTGATGAGAACTTTTAAGATATTCTCTCTTCAGTTCAGTTCAGTCGCTCATTCATGTACGACTCTTTGCGACCCCATGAACCGCAGCATGCCAGGCCTCCCTGTCCATCACCGACTCCCACAGTTTACTCAAACTCATGTCCATCGAGTCGGTGATGCCATCCAACCATCTCATCCTCTGTCGTCCCCTTCTCCTCCTACCCTCAATCTTTCCCAGCATCAGGGTCTTTTCTAATTAGTTGGCTCTTCACATCTGGTGGCCAAAGTATTGTAGCTTCAGCATCAGTCCTTCCAATGAATATTCAGGACTGATTTCCTTTAGGATGGACTGGTTTGATCTCCTTGCAGTTCAAGGGACTCTCAAGAGTCTTCTCTAACACCACAGTTCAAAAGCATCAATTCTTCAGCACTCAGCTTTCTTTATGGTCCAACTCTCACATCCATACATGAGTCCTAGAAAAACCAAAGCTTTGACTATGAGGACTTTTGTCAGTAAAGTAATGTCTCTGCTTTTTAATACACTGACTAGGTTTGTAATAGCTTTTCTTCCAAGGAGCAAGCGTCTTTTAATTTCGTGACTTCAGTAAACAACTGCAGTGATTTTGGAGCCCAAGAAAAGAAAGTCTATCACTGTTCCATTGTTTCCCCATCTATTTGCCATGAAGTCATGGGACTGGATGCCATAATCTTAGTTTGTTGAATGCTGAGTTTTAAGCCAGCTTTTTCACTCTCCTCTTTCACTTTCATCAAGAGGCTCTTTAGTTCCTNGAGCTTTGTTCGTAATGATGCTTCCTAAGGTCCACTCATCTTCACACTCCAGGATGTCTGGCTCTAGAGTTATCACACCATCGTGATTATCTGGGTCATTAAGATCTTTTTTGTATGTTTCTGTGTATTCTTGTCACCTCTTCTTAATATCTTCTGCTTCTATTAGGTCCATAACATTTCTGTCCTTTATTGAGCCCATCTTTGCATGAAATGTTCCCTTGGTATCTCTAATTTTCTTGAAGAGATCTCTAGTCTTTCCCATTCTATTGTTTTCCTCTATTTCTTTGCATTGTTCACTTAGGAAGGTTTTCTTATCTCTCCTTGCTGTTCTTTGAAAAATGGTAGATTTCAATATAAATAGCAATTATATTACATATAAATGGACTAAGTGCTTCAAACTATAATTTTCAAGTTATAAGAAAAATATGACCAGATTACATAAAGAAAATTATAACCCCATGCTATTACAAGACATATCTAAAACATACAGAAAGTTGAAAAGAAAAAAATAAGGCCCTATAAATACTAATTGAAGGAAATTGATATAGCTAGATTGATATCAGAGAAATTAGACTATTAAGAGTAAGCATTATTAGGAATACAGAGAAAGATTTCAAAATAATACATTCAATTCTACAAGGAAACTATTTATCTAAAATTATGTCTCCAAAATATACAAATCAAGAATTAACAGTACTAATAAAATGTTTTCTAAAGAAACGGTGAGAGAAAATGTTTTATAGATTGAAGTTCTCAGTATTGTAAAGCTGATGATTATTTTCCAAGCTGATTTTAAGAATTTATGCATTTATAATCAAAATCCCAACAAGTATTTTCCAGAACTTTACAAGTGGATTTTAAATTTTATGTAGAAATGCATCCATTATCTATAAATGATAAATTTTATTTTTTTCAAGGCCATCTGTTATTTATGCACCCATGCCTTAATTTACTGATTTTAATCTTCAAAATGATATTGAATAGAGTTCTACTACACCTCCCTGTTTTGAAGCTGACCTCAAAATCAATAACATTA